TTTAAACAAAAATATATACATTTTAGAAAATGTTTAAGCTGTAAAATGGTACATTATAATGTACATTTTGATAATCTATCCTTTTTTACTTTTGTCAACCATCTGGCCCACTGCGCTTTAAATATATTGTTAGACCGTATGCAAGTGTTCCTAAATGTGGCTAGAATTTAAGTTTCGAGGCACATAATTTATTTCTAACTTTTAATCTTTCTGAAGACTTTAACGTAACTATTTTGTTGTAAAATGAAAATATATACAGCTGTAAATATTTACTACTTCATAAAAATTTTTTTGTTCTTTATTACAATATTTATGATACATATGTAACAAGTAATATAAAAAAAGGAAAGATAACAAGTCACAATATCGTTAAAAAATAAAGTATAAAAAAATAAAAATTTGGCTAAAGATTAGTCGGGGAAACACTTAGTGTAAAATACGGGGACAATATTTTGCATAAACGAAAATTTTATAGAAAAGCAATAAAAATACATAACTTTTTTGTTTTTAATCACCTATTCGTACGAATATCAAGTTATTGTAGAAAGTTATAAGAGAGACAGCTGTTTCCCATTGAACACGTCCCCTATTTCTTTTTTATTTTTTAATTTTTAACTAGGGTTATGATTGTAGTCTTCAACGTGAACGGACACGTTTTAACATCATGGAAGAAAAAAATTAAGGAAAAGGCTAAGTTTTAAGTAACTTCAAAAATTATTAAAATTTAAAAATAATTATATAATATTAAATAATTATGGCAATTATGATTGAACAAATTAAGAGAAAATGTTTATAGAGTTTAAGACGGACATTGAAGACGTAATTAAACAGCAAGAAAGAAAAAGGTTATAAACATTATTAGTTCAAGCACAAAAATTTTTTACGAGTGTTTGGATAAAGTTCACTCATATATCAGTGAAAATAGTAACATAATAAAATTGAGAGAACAAGAAGTTGAAGCCGTTAAATTGAGATTAAACTTTCATGAACAACTTATTGAAGAAAAGATTAAGAGCGCCATTATTTCACAGGATAAATACCATAGTCGTTAACCAATACAATGAATCTGCACTTACTAAAATTACCTACAAAATAAGAAAGATAAAGGATTGATCCCAGCGAAATAATTTGAGAATCGATGGCGTTAAAGAAAGTGAAGGTGAAAATTGGGCGGACGACATAGCGAAAGTAAAAAAAAATTTTGAAAATTATTTAGGTCTAAAAAATAATATAAAATTAAAAAAGCACATTAAACTGGTCACAAACCGATTTAAAAAACTTTTTAAGAAAAATTACCATTTCTAAGAAATTTTGTATTTAACTGGTGATTATAATTTAAACTTGTTAAATCATGCTTCAAATGTAAATGTTCAATGGTTTTTAGACCCTTATTTAGTACGATATAATTCCCACAATAAATATGTCAATAATAATAACTAAGACCTCGTTGACGTTACTAGATAATATATACACTAATAATATTCATAGTTACTTCTTAAAATCGGGTGTAATCAGAACCGACACAGTTGAACATTTTGCCTAATAAAGAAAAAAAATGCTGGCATAGATAAAATTGGCGCGAATGTTGTTAAAACAGTGTTTGATATTATTGATCAGTTACTGTTTTTTTTTTCAATCTTTCACTAAAATTCGAAACTTTTCCAGAGACATTAAAAATTGCTAAGATCACACCTATTTTCAAATCTTGTGATGACATAAATATTTCTAATTATAGACCTATTTTTGCCTTACTATGCTTCTTAAAATTGTTAAAACAAATTTTGTATGATAGACTTAATAGTTATTTAACTGAGAGCAATATAATGTATAATAAACAATTTGAGTTCAAAAAGAATCAACAACATATCATACGTTAGTCGAGATAATAAACTATAATAGATTACCCAATGGGTTCAATAATGATTGCTATATATTGAAGTTTTTGTTGACTTGACAAAAGCATTTGACAATTTTAACCATGATATTCTTATAAAAAAACTAGAGCTGTATGGAATACTAAACAATAGCTTTCAATGATTTAAAAGTTTTCATTCAAAAAAAAACAATACATAATATTTACAGCAAAGGAAAAAAAAAAATATCATAACTTGTGGTGATCCACAGGGACGAAACTTAGATCCTCTATTACTTTTACTTTATACAAATGATTTATATTTAGTATCCAAAATTGTTAATTCTATTTTTTTACTGATGATTCAAATTTTTTTTTTATAATAGTAATATAAAAGACCTGTTAAGAAAATCTAACAAAAGAATTATTAAAAATTAATGAATGGATTACAATTAATAAACTTTCATTAATGTTATCTTACTCCACAAACCGAATAGGAGAGATAACGTTTCTTTAAAATTACCAAATCTTTTTATGAATAAAAAAGTTATTAAAAGAAAGTTAACGGTTGACTTTCTAGATGTGATTATAGATGAAAATATATTATGGAAATATCAAATTAAATCTATTGAAAACAAAATCTAAATATTTCAATGTTGTATAAAGGTAAACCATTTTTTAAAGAGTCTTTAAAAATTATGTATTTTTCATTTAGTCATAATATTCTTTCCTAATGCAATATTGCATGGGAATGTAATAATTATGGGAAGCTTAAAAAATCTATAGCAAACAAATAAATGCAAGTTGAATTGTATTTAGTGTTAACAGACCTGTTAATGGTGAATCTCTTTTAATGTAATTTAATGCACTCAATATTTTTAAATTTAACATATGCCAAGTTATGCTTCGAATGTTCAAGTCAAAACATAATTTATCTCCTAATATATTTCACTCTTACTTCACCAAAATGTTTCATAAATACCGCACAAAGTATTCAACTAATAATTTTGTTGTTCCGAGATCTTATTTACCATTTCGTATCATTTATACGGAAAAGTGTATTTAAAAATGTTATTTAAAATAAAGCTCTTCTACAATTCTCACTAAAACAATTCAAAAGAGAATCTAAATGATTTCAATTAGAAAATTACTTCGATCTTAAAGTATTTTTTTAAAAAAGTATTATTTTATTGAATGAGTACCAAAAATATTTAAACTGAAAAAAGTCATCATTAATCACTTATGTCTCTCTTGATTTGTTTCTAATTTTCTCCTTATAAAAAAAATTAATAAACGACTAAACGAAAAAATATATTTTATTATACTATTTACCAGTTGCAATATATTTTGTTTTACTATATAATCTTCAAATTTTTCAAATTTTAACTTTTAATTTGGACTTGTTACATAAACTAAAGGCGACAATGTGAACGTGGCTCGGCAATAAGTCAATATATATCTTTTGCCATTTATTTTACACGTACGATCTTTTTTATTGTATACTTTATTAAACGGCTAAGGAATCATTTAAATAAATAAATGAAATAAATAAACTAGTTGACTTTAGTTATTTAAGAAAACACAACATTAAAAAATTTGCTTTTTAATAATTTTTTTATAATAAAATTTAAAGATCAAAATGCCAAGAAAAGGCTTGAATTTTAAGAAGCATCATTATAAATAGTTTTTGTCATATCTATTTTAGCTTTCATCGCCACTCATTTCTGAATTATTGTTTTCATCTAAATTATCTTTCTTATTTTCGCACTTTTGCAAATATCTGAGCTTTTTAAACTGTCTTAATGAGAAGATTGGTTTATTTTGCAAAGATGTGTGCTACCTGTACAGCTTCATCTTGAAAGGTAAAACAAACGTCAAGTGTTTTCCGTTTATTATATGCATAGCAGACAGATTTTTTAAATGTTTTTAGTTTTATTTTCTTTTGCAAACATTTCATTTTTTATCTTTAATATAAATAACAACGAAAATTTTTTTTCTGTTTATCTTTAAAAAAAAAACATTATTCTGTTTTGCAAATAGTAATACCGTTACAGCTTCAGCTTGAAAGGTAAAACAAATGTCAAGTTTTTCATTTTTTTTTTTCGCAAACAGATCATTTTGTGTTTTTTTATATGTAATAACGAAAACGTTTCTTTTTGTTTATCTTCTACTATGTTCTGCATATTTTATACTCTGCAAAGTATATTATTATCTTTTTCAAAAGTCAAAATCAACATTAGATGATTTATTGTAACGAGTATATCTTGTATAAAAATATGGTACAATTATGAAAATAGATATAAAATATATTAATAAAAAATATATTTTTTTTACCTTATAAACTATAATAATAAACTAGTTATAAAGACCTAAATGCTGCAAATAAATCAGTATTAGAAATACCAAAAATAAAACTTCACCAATTAAATAACAAATAATAACCAATAATTTGAATACATAACAGCATACCAAAATTTAAAACAATTTTAATTAAAGTTAATTTGTAATTTAACATAGTTTTCAACTTCAACTTTGTATTCCATTTAATTTAAGGTTAACCTTTTAACATGTATCCTCAGAGCGAGTTTTGCAGACAGATTTGCTATATACTTACATAAAGTCTGCGTACAAAAACTTTAAATCATAAATTTAGAAAAAGATGGACAGAGGGGAGATGGTTCAAAAACGCATATAATCAAATCGTTTTTTAAAATTCAAATAACTGAAAACCAATTTTTATTTTATATTTTTTTAAATTTAATTGAGGTGCCCCAAGAAGTCTATACGGTCTTATCACAACATTGCAGATGAGCATTTAATTGAAAGTTCACGCCTAATTCCTAACCGATGTTGCAAAATTTGCCCAAAGGTAGGGTTTGAACCACGGATTCTTTGTTTATGAGTTAAATGCGCTCCCACAATGCCACTGCTGCTCATTTAATTATTGATGATTTTTAAAAAATAACTTTATTTTTTTTATAGTTTAAAATAAAACATAAAGTGACTAAATAAAAAATGATAAAACTAAAACTAAAAAACTTTTTAGAAAACGATTAACACAATTAAACAATATTAAACTAAAAACACAAGATAATTTTTAAATTCATAAAAAAACATTTTAAGTCTGCAAAATAAAAAAAAGGATTACCTTTTTTTACTTTACAAATATATCCATAGTTATCAGAACAATTATGAGCATTCCAACTTTCAGCATTTATTACAACACATCTTGTTACTGTACTTAAAAGATCACTTGTTTCATTTAATATAGTTTCAATAGGGAATTTTAAATTCCATTTAGTTTGATCAGACCAAACAAACCTTTTATGACTCATAAGATAATTGAGGCCTTAAAAAAAATACAAATAGTTTTAAACCTTTTGATTAAAATTATTTCAAAATATATATACATATATATATATATATATATATATATATATATATATATATATATATATATATATATATATATATATATATATATATATATATATATATATATATATATATATATATATATATATATATATATATATATATATATATACATATATATATATATATATATATATATATATATATATATATATATATATATATATATATATATATATATATATATATATATATATATATATATATATATATATATATATATATATATATATATATATATATATATATATATATATATATATATATATAAAAACAAAAATTTCGCGGGCAAAAATTTGATTTACAGTGAAAAACACAGTTAATCTTTCAACAAGTTAATCTTTAAAAAATGCCGTTTTTCACTAATTTAGTTGTAAAAAATGGCACGATTTGACATCACACAAAATGAAAATGCAAGAAAACTTGTTTTTGATCAATGGAAACGTGGTGTGAAAAGAATTAAAATTTGCAAAGCCGTGAAGGAACAGCTTCATAATTCCAACGTCAACAGACTCTTAAAAGACTTAGAGACTGGAAAAAATTACAAAAGAAAAAAAACAGGTCCAAATCGTTATGTGAGAACTAAAGAACTTTGAACATCGTACGACGAAACCCAAACAGGTCTATTTCATCCTTAGCTAGAGAATCAGGTGTATCTCGTAGGACTATGCAACGTGTTGTCCACGATGATCTGGGTATGAAGAGCCTTGTCAAGTCAAAAAGACAACTTCTGAGTGAGGAAACTAGAGCCAAAAGACGCAAAAGATCAAAAGAGTTACTAAATTGGTTCAAAGACCACAAAGATGTCCCTATCGTTTACAGTGATAAAAAATTTTTTACAGAAGAACCAGAACCCAACAGATACAATGACAGAGTTCTTGGTAAGTCCAGAAGAACAGTTCCTTCGGAACTGAGGACTATATAAAAAAGACAGCACCCTGTGGGCGTCATGGTTTGGGCAGGTGTGTGCTTTGATGGGACAAAAAATCCCCTTGTTTTTGTTCCTGAAGGTGTAAAAGTCAACCAGGTGACCTATGTCGACTTCATCAAAGCTAACCTCATTCCTTGAGCCAAAAAGAAGTTTGGGGATGATCCATGCGCCTTTATGCAGGATAGTGCACGAGCACACAGTGCAAAGAAAACTGTCAGCTTCTTGAAAGAAAATGTCCCGCACCTTTGGACCCCAGATATGTGGTCCCCTTCAAGCCAAGACATTATTCCTATGGATTTTGCTATATGGAGTGTCATAGAGACCAAGAAGGCACCCAAAACATATCCAAATTTGGCAACCCTCCGAAACGAATTAAAAAGATCTGGAAGAATCTTAGTCTATACATGGTGCGACGACGCTGTGAGTCAGTTCCAGAGCGTTTGAAGAGTGTCATTGATGCCAAAGGAGTCTTCTTTGAAATTTATTAGTGGTTTTGGGTAAAAATATATGTGATTTGGTATTGTGAAAAGTTTTACTTTAAAAATAAAAGCCATTTTTGAGATATAAATATTTTTATTTTTCTGCGATAACCTGCGCACCCCTGTATACATATATATATATATATATATATATATATATATATATATATATATATATATATATATATATATATATATATATATATATATATATATATATATATATATATATATATGAAACTGCTTCATTTATATATATATATATATATATATATATATATATATATATATATATATATATATATATATATATATATATATATATATATATATATATATATATATATATGTATATATGTAAATATATATATATATATATATATATATATATATATATGTATATATATATATATATATATATATATATATATATATATATATATATATATATTTACATATATACATATATATATATATATATATATATATATATATATATATATATATATATATATATATATATATATATATATATATATATATATATATATATATATATATATATATATATATATATATATATATATATATATATATATATATATATATATATATATATATATATATATATATATATATATATATATATATATATATATATATATGAAACTACTTCATTTCGACGTCATGTAAAAATTAAAGGTACAATGGAGTCTTGTCTGCTGCGCAAACTCATACTTTATTAGTGAAAAATTTTTTATTTTGAATTTCGAGTACTTTTAAGTGTTGCTCAAGTACGTCAAAAGTCATATATGGACTTTTGAACCCATTTTTTTAGTCTAATTTTTTTTTACAATAAACTTTTTTCCTTCTAGTGTTTCATATTAGATAGAAGAGCAAAATAAAAATGCATGGTAACTTTGTTTATGGAAAAAGTTATCTTTACTCTGTCTAAGGAATCGCAAGTTTAATTAATTTTTTTTGATTATTACGCATTACGGTACCTTCAGCTATTTTTTACGTTTTATGAAAGAAGTATAACATATCTGTTTCACGAAACGCCAAGCAACCTAATAAAATAAACTTAAAAAACAATTTATTAAAATTATTCATTGTTTTTTTGTTGCCATTGTAGGCTTTTCCTTCATACTTGCTTATGTAGTTGTTTAATAATAAAAACAAAAATTGTCTGCTATTTACATTTCTAACAAATTCGATTTTTTCCCTTATGAGCAACATTTTAACAGTTTTTTTATTGCAATCATTAACTTACTTTTATTTATTACTATTTTTATTAATACTATTGCAAATTTAATTTACGGAAATTTTAGAAATTATTGCAAGTGCAATATTTAAATGGATGGGGTACATTTATCGACAGTCTCTTTAAATTTGATACAAAATACAAGTCAAAAACTTTTTGTGAAATCTAAAGAATTGAGGACCTTAATGTTGGCTCTCATTTAAGTTGATGGATATAATTTTTTCACACTTTTTATCAACTAGGACTAGTTCACAATAAAACAAGAGTCTAAAAACCATGTGTGAAAAGCATAGAATGATCTTGATAAAGAGAATCATGTAAGTTTTTATATAATTTGTTACCATTTTTGTAAAACACTATTTACTCTTTAGCACTTTTCAATTTTAGTGTCAAAAAATTTTTTTTCTCAAATATAAAACGGTATTTAGAAGATTATGGATTTCTGAGAAAACTTTATCAAAATATTATCAGCAGGGGTTCTCTAAAAAAGTAGCTCGATAACTCGATATCTGAATTTTTTGGTATATTTTGAATATATTACATATTCAAAATATACCAAAAAATTCAGATATTGAGTTTATTCTCAATAAGTATTTTTCTTATTGCTGATTGCTTGATTCTGTAGTAATTGCTACACAGTACATATTAAATATACATTAACTATATTACTCTTTTTTACACAAAAATTATACATACTAATATATAGTTAATCATACCTATATATTCTGGTTTACTTTCATTTTTGGGTGAGAATACAAGGAAGTACTAGATTAAGCTTACACTTATCTGCTTTTTGAGGGCAAGTACAAGTTTTTACTCCCAAGCTTTATGGCAAAGTAAAGATTTTTATGTACATTAACAAATACTTAGCTTTTTAATAAATAACCATATGTAATAAATTCATTTTTGGTATCTACTACATAAAGCTCCAGCTTTTGATGGGTGAAACAGCCATTCTTATTAGATTAATGAGATGGCAACTTTTGTGGTAGCCTTCTAAACTACTGTTTTCTTAAAGCTAAATTAGCTTTAATTGCTTTATGTCAGTTATCAACTTCGAAAAATGAAATACGTAAATATAGTATACTAGGATTCCAATATGAAAAAAATGATTTTAATAACTAATAAACATAACTAAACAAAGAATATTACAACTTTTTCTCTAATCCAAGAAATGACATTTCTTTAGAAAATGTAAAGTAAAATCAGATTTGAGCAGAATCAGATTTTAAATCTATTAAACGATACACAGAGTTATGAGTGCTTATTAAATTGTGCTTAGCTGATAAATAAATGCGAAGAAAAAGATGAAATTGCTTAAACACTACGGGCAAATATTCATCAGTCTAAATGAGTGCAGGAAATTGAGATTCTCAGTTTTTTTAGATTTCAGTCGATCGAAGCCTCCAAGCATAATTTAATTGGTTGAGAAATTTGCGGCTTTTTTTCTTAAAATAGCCAAAGTGAAAGTCGTTGTTAATGGATGAATCCGATTCTCATCGCCTTCAATGCATTTGCAGTTTTTGGAGTTAATGTTTTCTGCTGTTAAGTTAAAGTTATGTTTAGGAATAAGATTTTTATTTTTTTTATACGACATTTTTGTAAAGTAGTGAGGGACACTGCGGACCAAAAAACATTAACTAAACTGAAATAAAAAATTGTGTAACGTTTGTTTTCTCTTTAGTGGAATCACGCGAAAAAGTGGCAGTGAAAAGAAATTTTATTTGTTAGAATCTTGTTTGTTAGAGAGAAACAGGTACTTGATTTTCATTTTTGTTTAATTATTTTAAAAATGTTTTTGAGTCAAACAATTATGTCTAGTCAGGTTATCCTGCTACTGGTAACATGTAATACAGTAAAACCTGCTTCATGTTAACGTCAGCAAGGGCATCCGCTTGACAAACATTGCTTTGACTCTTTTGTATCGGCATTTATATGTCCTTATGAGAAACCATCTTAACTAGGCAAGTGTGGAAAAATACGTACAGCAACAATAATAGATGAATACGTACAACAACAATAATAGCAATTCATATTTATAGTTAATTATAAAGATTCAATTTCTTAAAATTCTTTAACGTTAAAAAGCTTTAAGTAATTTATTGTTTAATAATAGGATGAAACTGAATTACATGTTACCAGTAGCAGGATAACCTGACTTAACGTAAGGATAACCCGACCTAACCTTGAAGCTTTAGTACTAACAATAGCATTAGTACTAATTATAGACTACTAGTTTT